CCATGCGGGGTCCTACAGGCGCACGCGTCGCTGCAACGGCCCTACCGGATCATGAATCTGCCGCATAACAGCGCCAGATTCATTTTGATGTGAAAGAGGCCAAGGGTGATACCGCTGAAGTATAGAATGAGGCCCACGTACGGTATTTTGAAAAAGAAGGGCCCTACCGGCTCATGAATCTGGCGCGAAAACAGCGCCAAATTCGTGAACCGGTAAAAACAGGTCCAGGTTGATGTGGCCACGGCGCGAAGGTGCCTTTTATCCAGGCTGTAAACGTTTGGGCCGGTAGTACCAAATGGCCGAGTTTTGGGCGGCCAAAACCGAAAAGGTTTTGGCCGCCCAAAACTCGGCCGTTTGGTATTAGAGGCCCAATGACTTCCATGCGGGGTACTACAGGCCCATGCGTTGCTGCAACGGCCCTACCGGATCATGAATCTTGCGCATAACAGCACCAGATTCATTTTGATGTGAAAGAGGCCAAGGGTGGTACCGCTGAAGTATAGAATGAGGCCCACACATGGTATTTTGAAAAAGAAGGGCCCTACCGGCTCATGAATCGCGCGCGAAAACAGCGCCAAATTCGTGAACCGGTAAAAACAGGTCCAGGGTGATGTGGCCACGGAGCGAAGGCGCCTTTCACCCAGGCTGTAAACGTTTGGGCCGGTAGTACCAAACGGCCGAGTTTTGGGCGGCCAAAACCGAAAAGGTTTTGGCGTGTGCTCCTTCTACCAATTATTGGTAGAAAAGTTTTCGGCGTGGGCTCCTTCTACCAATAATTGGTCCTTCTACCAATAATTGGTAGAAGGAGCCCACGCCAAAACCTTTTCGGTTTTGGCCGCCCAAAACTCGGCCGTTTGGTACTACAGGCCCAATGACTTCCAGGCGGGGTACTACAGGCCCACGCGTCGCTCCAACGGCCCTACCGGATCATGAATCTGGTGCATAACAGCGCCGGATTCATTTTGATGTGAAAGAGGCCGAGGGTGGTACCGCTGTACGGTATTTTGAAAAAGAAGGGCCATACCGGCTCATGAATCTGGTGCGAAAACAGCACCAAATTCGTAAACCGGTAAAAACAGGTCCAGGGTGATGTGGCCACGGGAAGGCGCCTTTCACCCAGGCTGTAAATGTTTGGGCCGGTAGTACCAAACGGCCGAGTTTTTGGCGGCCAAAACCGAAAAGGTTTTGGCGTGGGCTCCTTCTACCAATTATCCCAAGATTGATTCTAGTTTTGCACATTTGGTAACTAGTTGAGTGAAGCCCTGAAAATCACATGCTGAGTTAGTGAGTAACCAACCCATAACTGCTGACGCAAGTACCTGAATTTGAAGGTTCACCATATATAGCTGGCCTGCTCCCTCCTTATTTCGAGCCTTATAACGACCTGTCAAATAATCACCCTTCTCTTGGCGATGGGACCCTTGCCAAATTTTGGCAAGGACCTTTTGGAGTACCAGCAGGGGTTGTCTGAATGACGTGAAAGGGCTCTGCTCTCTCTCTCTCTCTCTCTCTCTCTCTCTCTCTCTCTCTCTCTCTCTCTCTCTCTCTCTCTCTCTCTCTCTCTCTCTCTCTCTCTCTGTGTCTGTGTGAAGCGTGTATACACACATCATTGCTTTTCTTTTTTTTTCTTTTTGCTCGCTCCTCGCAGCTGTCACTAGCGCACAGGGCAGCGCACTGCGAAGGAATCTAAATTCCCGAACGAATTTGAGGGAGGACGAATCATGCAATCCTTGTCACTGAATAACGTATTGGGTAAGTCTGAAAAATGGTGTGTCACGGAAGTTTCACAGCAAAAATATTGGCGGGGCCCAAGTTTCGTTGCAAAATAAAATATCTTGCCTTGAACCGAGCTCACTACAGCAGCTATGGAAAACGATTCTATTTTCAGAGGGAAGAAGGTATGTTCCAGGCCACTGGAACAGCAAATCGTATATAAACGAAACCGAAAGATGATTCTGGTGGAAGGATAGATAGCTGAAAGAGGAGACATGAACCAAGGTTGTAATGCGCGAAACACATAGATCAAGCACACACAGAGGACGAGAAGAGTTCACCAAGCTCATTGAGGCCAAGGAGTTTAGAAAACATTGTTAACACATCACCATCCTCTAAGACAACAATAGTGAAATTCCTGAGACACACAGAGACACAGAGACACAGAGACACAGAGAGAGAGAGAGAGAGAGAGAGAGAGAGAGAGAGAGAGAGAGAGAGAGAGAGCTTAATGAACTCGACAATGTCGACATTAGTGAGCCGTAATCTGCCTCGGATCTCCACATTTACCACGTAGATTATAAAGCTATTAACAGGTCTTTAGAGGATGAAAGACACTCACACAGGTGGACACGCCGTCAGGCGGAAAACGAAAGCAAGCTACTGACCGGCCAGACTACATCTGCTGATGTGGCTAACTACCTTTAGACTCGCTGCAATGCCAACCACCCACCCTGCCTTCTTCCTCGACAACCACGACCGCTAAAGAGATGCCCCAATTTGGATCTTGTCGAAAAACTGCATTGTGCATACCCCATAGCATCCGCCTCTGATTCCACTTTAGATACTCAAGATGGCACAGCTGCCCACATCTCCGACCCTTCTCACCCACTATCCACATGGGAGATGGTGGTGGGTGGAGTTCTCAGTTCTAAGGACACTTCTTCCATTGGAGGTTGAGGATGAGCACGGGGTTGCAATCGACGGAGTCGATACCCATGACCGCCTTCTTGCCCTCCACTCGCACCACCATCTTGATGTTCAAGTTGGGTGTGTTGTTGCACTCGCTCCAGACAAGCCTCCGGAAGTCGTCCGTGAACTCGAAGCTGCCAGTATATGGGCCTTGGATTTTGCGCTCGATCATTGCCGTACCCGTTTGTCCGGAGAGGTAGTAGTGTACCTCATAGATGCCTGCGGAGTCCTGGGCGATGTCAGCGAACCAGCGGGCCGTGGCCTGACCGATGGAGACGCTCCAGCCATCCGGGTAGTTTATATAGAAAGACATCTGGCAAGACTTCCTCTTGCCGGCGGGCAACCCGTCCGTGGTCGCAACCATCCCGCCGAATATGAAGGTGACCATCTTGTAGTCGTTCGACAGCACATAGTTCGTGTTCTCATAATTGCAGCCCGAGCCTTGGTAGACGACATAGCTGATAGTCACCTCCGGTGGAGCCTGCGCACTTGCCTGAACTGCAACACCGACCAGAAGCAAGGCCAACAGAAACGTAGAGTGCGCCATTATCTGGTACTTCACCTTCCACCTCCCCCTGTGCGCGCTTTCCTTATGTGCGACAGAAAGGCGGTCCTCTGAAGACACGAAAGCAGCCGTAAAACACAACTGCTCGCTGCTCCGCTCGACCCCCCACTCGTCAAAGTTTTTCCTACCAGTGTGCGTACAAGCAGTTGCGCCGATTGCGAGCGCGTGCGCGAAGCAGCGCGATCTAAGCTAGACAGTCGAGTTGATGTCTAGTCGAGGCAGCTCGGTTCGCTTTATTACACTGGCTCACGGCAGACACTTCAAGGTCCGCCTCTATCCAGCAGCTATGGGCTTGAATGGTGTCCTCGTGAGTGAGACAAGGCTTCGCTTCGCTCTGCGGCTTTCAGCCTAATCCGTCCTCTTGTGTTTTTTTTTCTCTCTTTTTCTTTTTTCTCAGAAAAGCCTGGAACATTTTTTCTCTCTTTTCCCTCCTTCCCGTCTTCTTTTCCTTTTTCTTCTAAGAGATCTCACAAACCAAGAAAAAAAATTGTGTGCCCATGATTACCTTTGTTTTATTTCTGCTTTGTCTTTCCCGCGGCGAGGTCCCAATCCCAATAGCTCAGAGGAATGGATTGAGGGTGCGTTTTGCACAGAAATGCAGATCAATCGCGATTTTCGGCACGTTCACATTCAGGGCATGCTCACGCACATGGGACCTGTTATCCCAAATCCCCCCCCCAAAAAAAGGTGTAGCGGCCGATCACACACATTTGCCGAAGTACCAAATGTGCTATTTGAGGTCACAGAAGACTGCAAACGCCCGTTTCTTTCGCATTTTCTTCAAAAAATGGCAAAAATTTGTTCACAAAAGTTCTTGCACAATTTGTGGATGGCGCAGTGTGACCAGCCAGGTACCAAATCCCCACTTCTCCAGACGGCCGTGACCTTGTCCCATCTGAAAAGGTACAGCGGTGTGACGTGAACATGCCCAGACCCTCATATCGGCCCTTCCCAAATCTGCATATTTCGGGGATTTGGGGTCGCAGTGTGAGTACGCCCTCAAGCGAGATCGAGAAAATTGGAACCATGGCCCCCTGCGCAAGGATGACAAGAAAAAATCGAGAAATGCTTCGACTTAACTTTAAAAAAAAAGAAAGTTCCGGGGTGAAGTAGAGAAACCTTGTCCTACGCAGAAAGATTTTACAAACGAGCCTAGCTCAGGGCGATGTGACAACGTACCACTGTCTTCGCTAATGTGATAAAGTGCAGCAATCTAGCCCTGTGCTTCTGTCTACGTGTGCGCTCTGTACATGGGCGATGCTGGTTTGACTGGATATGTACATGGGCGATGCTGGTTTGACTGCATACGCTGTACATCATTGATGCCTTCCCTTTCCTAGCTCAGGGCACGCTCACACTGGGTACCCAAAATCGTACTACCTTAAAAAAAAAGGGATGCCCGATCTGGGAAAATAGTGGGTAGACCGGTCACCCTTCTTCCCCATTTCGCAACAGACAGACAAGGTTGCGGCCGCCTGGGATTTGGGTCCTCTTCAAGAATTCAACTGCTCCAATCACCCGGATGGATCGCATTTCCTGGCAATGTCTTTGTCTTTGAATTTCTTTCTATTTCCGCAGGTTGATTCCAAACAAGAATAAGAAATTTTCGGTCACGTAATTTCGTTTGAAAGGGGCAGTAAATACATCTACAGTCAATTTTGACACTGCTCGAATCTGAAATGGCAAAAAACACAAAAATAGCTGCAGTGTATTTCGCCATTTTTAACTCAGGCCGTTTATTCCACGAAACCTGCGGCTATCACAATACGGGATTCAAAAGCTTCAACAACCTTTCCCAGAAAGAGAAACAGCGAAACAAACGAAATAGAAAAGCATTGCCAATGACACCCCTATCTAGGGGAATATTTTAGAGAGATGCGGCCACGCCTTCTATTCAGGATGAAAATGCAGCTGGCTTCAAAACTATTCTTTTTTGGGAAAACTAGGGTGCAGTCAAGGTTTTCAGTTTTTTGTTTTTTTTGTTTTTGTTTAGCAAAAACGTGGCTCCGATCTATTTGTGGGGAGCAACACAAGCTRGGAACCGGGCCCAGCGTCCCTTATAATACAAAAGACCATTGGGATCGTACTTCGGGGCCGGGGTCCCCACAGTCTACCCGGAGAGAGTCAACAGTACCGGAGGCATTATCCGGTTTCCAATTCTTACTCTATCTGCTTATGCTGAACATCGGTATGAACCAACAGCCACCTGCTGTGTCGTCTTTTCAACCATCTAGTTCCCCATCCATTCAAGTAGCCATGAAAGTCTATTGAGACCTCTCAGCCCTGTGGCCGTCTGGTCTAAATGCAGTACTAGCCTCTCAAGACCATCTGTGGACTGAGGAAATACATGAACAAGGAGACCAGCAATGGAAACAAACTCAGAGTCACTGTATACTTGCTATCCTGCTTTGTAGTCTGCGCCTGCTACTTTTACAATTTAACCAGGGCCCCAAAATTGCCCTGTGAGCCTCATCCAAAGTAACCAGCCGATTGTTAATCGCCCATGTCTTTAAGAACCAGATAGGACCTTTACGTTTCCTATCCACAAGGATTGTATATCTCATTCGTTTCCGAATCAGAGCTTGTAGTTGGCCTTTACCTGGAAGTTCACCGTTGAACAGAGCATTGTTCCGCGATTGCCAAATGACACTCATAATTATACCTCGGCATGTCTGCCCCACGTAGCCCCAACCCGAAGAACAGTCTTTTATGTGAGTACTCATTCCTGTTTGAATCCACTCATCCGACCAAGGAAAGGCGTGGGATGAGAAAGCTTTCCAGTGTTTTCTCCACCATTGCCATATTCTGAGGGAGAAGGGACAATCAGTCCAAACGTGGGTGGTTGATTCCCAAGCCCACCTGCATCTGAGACATGCTCTGGGAACTTCCATTTTCCTGGATCTTAGCCATTCCGCTGACGGTATGACATCAAGAGTTTGTAACCATAGTAGACTGGCGACCTTTTGTTCAGGCATCATCTTGAGGTGTTTCCAGTATCTTAAAAAATTCTCCTCTGTGGATAGCTGTGGGTACTTCATCTGCCAGCGCTCAACTGCAACTGTTGCTGGTTTTCTTTGTGCTTTATCTCTTTGAATGGATACACCTGTGCTTGGTTTGTATTCCGCTAGTGGCCGAAAAGAGCTTTTCCCTGTGTTATCTTTCCAACCTTGTAAAAAAGGTTCCACTCGGTAGGAGAGTGCCTCCCTACCCAATGTGCAGTGTTCCTTACCTGATTTATCAAATTTGGAGAGAACTCTTACCTCTGTTAGGTCTGACCAGTCTTGGTCTGCTTGGATGCTTATCTCCTGTTCGAACTGCAGTTCCTGATTCTGTGCAGTGCCCTGGTTACGAACCCATTTTTGGACTTTTGTTCCAGTGGCCAGTTCTGGGCCAACCGCTCTCCAGGTACAATCTTGCTCATTTCGTCTGGTAAACCAGGTGTTGTTCGTCTGAAGTAGTGGTCTTTTAAGTGCACTTGTCCATACTATGGATATTCCTGCTGTTAACTTCCTTAGGTTGTTGGCCACGTTGTGGAGCCTAGGTAATTTAAGTTTGAGACTGTCTGTCGAGATCCAGTCCAGTTTGTCTAAGTCCCAAATATCCCTTATCTCAATGATGCCTTTGGCTATTCATGCTTTACCAAAACTGCCAACACCATCACTTGCTGGAAAGGGGGTGTGGTCGTCTTGAAGTATGAGGGGGTTATCGAACAGAGGTTGGATGAGTACTTCGGATCTCGTGGTAGGAGGGTCTCTAGCGGTGGGTTGGAYTTTGTTCCAAGCGYAWATGAAACTTCTCCATRTTYTGCTCTTGGGTTTTTTCCTGGCAAAGGAAGGGAGATCTAGACACCTCCAGACGTCTGATGGGGTAGAGAGGTCCCATTCCTCGGCCAAGATGTATTCTGCTAGTAGTTTCCATGTTTTGATTTGAGTTTCCATCAGGCCTCTAATGGGCCATTTAGCGAGTAGTGATATATTTTGTGCTCTTGGGTCCAAAATACCCAGTCCACCCTAGTCACGTTTAGCTGTGATCAATTCCCATGCAACTTTTGTCATAAATCCTTGTTCTTCTTCTGCTTTAGGTTTCCATAGGTATCTGGCTGCGGCCCTGCGTATTGACATGTATGCCTTGTTTCCTAACAAATGTATGGTACATGGGAACCATAAGATCGAGAATGCTGCCGACGATAAAACTAGAGCTCTGCCGAATAAAGAGAGAGAGAAACTTTTTTCCCAGTTTGTGATTCGGGATACTAATTTGGAGGCTAGCAATGAATCTTGAGTAAAGGAGGCGTCAGAGAGAGAGACTTGAATGCCCAGTAGACGTGTTGAGTTCTGGACTGGGACTCGCTGCATACCCCAGTCTGAGTCTAATATAAATGGCGAGGGGAGTAAAAAAACTGATTTGTTCCAGTTTATTGAGGCTTCTGATAAAAAGCAATAAGTGTCAATGACCTTGTGTAGTTCTTCTAGAGATTCTCTTCTGTTTGCACATGTTACTGTAAGATCGTCTGCGATCGCACTACATTTCAGATGGATAGTGGTAGATAATCGGAGTCCAATAATTGCGTCATTGTATCTAATGTTGTCGAGTAGGGTCTCTAGTTGTAGTACGAACAGCAGGGGTGCCAAGGGGCACCCCTGTCTTAGTGAACGGGTCAGTGGGAACTCCTTTGACAGTCTACCATTCACATTCACTACCGCTGATGCTTTTGAGTACATTGTTCGGACCCATGTGCAAAATGAGCTTCCAAAGTCCATCTTTTTTAGTGTAGTAGACACAAAAGCCCATCCAACTTTGTCGTAGGTTTTTTCCATGTCCAGACGCATTACCGCCACTTCTCTCTTCTCCTTGCCAATGATCTCTAGAGTTTGGACGGTTGTTAGTATGTTTCCAAATATAGATCTTCCTTGAACGAAGGCTCCTTGTTCATTTCCTGTTAGCTTCAGTAGGTGTCTAGCTAATCTCGGAACCAGTGCTTTGGCCAGAATTTTGTATGCTACATTGAGTAAAGAAATGGGTCTCCAATTTCGTATGTCTCGTTTGTCACCTTTCTTGTACAGCAAGGTTATCACTCCTTTGACCCAACCCTTTGGTAGTTTTTTTCCATTGAGAATGTTGTTGTAGGCTTGTAGAAGGAAGGGGCCTGTGGTCTCCCA